CCAGACTTCAGCAATTTATTTCAAGATTTTTTTTTTCAAAATTTAAATATCCTTTTTTTTTTTTTTTTTTTTTTTTTAAAGGGAGTACAGGAAGAGAAAACTAGTCTAAGCTGACCAAGAAGATTTCCCTCTACCACTTTCCAGTTAGTGAGGCAATAGGCTAGGGCCTTGGCAGGTTTAAGGAGCGCCCTTGAAACCATTTGCTTGAGCAGCAATTCCCTGGAGGTTGCCAGTGTTATTTGTAGGACGTGCCTCAACTCAAAATTCAAGACTTGGCAATGCAAATGTGGGGAAATAGTGTTTAAAAAAATTAAAGTAAAGTCATTTGGAAGTGGCTGAAAGGGACCTTCCCCTTTATGATTCACCACACAGTCCAGCTGTTTTTCACCATGTGTTTTTTCAGACATTCACAGGTAATTTTGTCTACTGCATTCAATCCGCGCTCCCAGAGGATGTTGTGAAAACGATGCTGGAGAAAATTGGCTACATTGCAACAACAGCAACAGAGTTTTCGCTTGCGGGAAAGATAAATGAGGAAGAGACAAAGCAGACTGCATTTGAAATATTCCTCGCAAGACTTGAGTGCGAAATGATCCTCGAAATGACAAACGAAGAAAAACACAGTGATCTTGGGGACATCTTACAGAAGAGGGCACAGATGCATTGGTGTCAGGAAGATAATGAGGACAGAGCGAGTCAATCCCCGGAGAGCGAGAACTCTGAAAACCAAAGAAAAGAAGAAAATAGCAAGACACCGTCATGCCTTGCCACTCAGGAGAAGTCTTCAACAAACAAGGAGCTATCCTTTGAAACTGCTGGAAATAGTAAGAACAAAGAGGAACTCAATTGGTTAGCATCCACTCCATCCACTTGCACGCTTCAGGGATGCCAAAGGCAAGGCAAGGGCTCCATGCGCTCTCATCGAGAGCATTCAGACAGCGAGGACTTCTTGAAGAAATACAGTGACATTGCCATAAGACACAAGCCTATTTTCAATGAGAATCTTCCTCTGGCAGCTTTTGAAAAGCCACGAGACAGTCAGAGCGAAGAACACATTTTGGGGATCACAGCACAGTCGACAACAGGCAAAGCCAGTCCCACTCCTCTCTCACCAGGAGCAAGCGGACCACAAGCCTTTGCAATATTTCCTGACACTGATATTTATAAGGTCCAAGAGATGCCAGAAGAAGCAAATGAAGCAGAAATTAAGGATGCCATGGGCTGCATGCACCCGGATCCTGCAGATCAACCCAAGGAGCTCAAGTCCCTGGTATATAGCAATTCTCTTGGTGCAGAACACAGTTTATCCAGGGAAGAGATAGCTGTCTGCGAAGTGCCTTCATCCTTTAGCAAACAAAAGATCAAGGAAGCCAGAGAGGAAGGATTGATGTATCCCATGGAGGAAACGGCACAACCAGAGTCTATAACATACACAAGTAAAAATGATAAGGACATAAGAGAATGCAGTAGTACCAAAATGAAATGCACATATGCAGCAAATGCCCAGACCGCCCCGGGTGGCCAGTCCTCATCAAAACAACTTTGTCATACACCTGCGGCCACTGAGTATCCCATCATTTGCTCTGAGAACAAGAGACTCTTAATGGATGCACCCGGTACACATTCAGCTCCAGAGGGCGTCAGACACATCAGAGAACCGCCACACCTCACTTACATCCCGCCTCAAAGTATCGATGCTCAACTTCCAGGAGGTAGCAACCCCACTGCGCATGGCCGAAGGAACCTCTTAGCACCTGAAGGAGGCGCTCTTGAATCCTTTTCATGCGACACTGTAGTGAACTGTGAGAATTGCACTGCAAAAATGAATGAAGCCAGCCCTGAGGACTATGTGATTATCAGCAGTGATGACCAATAAGGCATACGATGCACACAAGTCTACCAGTGCTCTTCTCTCTTGCTCTACAACATACCTGTCTTTCCTGTTCCCGTCTTGCTTCTCTTTGAGCAAATACAGTTAAGCCTGTTATATCAACAGTGTGTGCCCTATAGTAGCGAAGAAAGGACCATTAAGCATTGGCTTTCACACCCCCCGCCGTGGCAACACGAACTTAGGGGCCAAGTCCTAAACCATCTTTAAATTCTGTGGATATAAAGCATGCCTATATTCACAAATGTATTTGATGTAAGGTCAGAAGTTAAGCATCCTCTGGAGATGCTGCACCTGGCTTACGACAGTATTTTTTTTAAATGCGCGCACTGCCACTTTGTAGCTCTTTGAAACAAAAAAAGTGTCCTGGCAGCAATGCAGTAGATTTACATCAGCAAATAAAACAGGGTCCAAAAGAGGTATGGAACGAGAGAAGCAAAGCTCTGACGAGGAAGTTTCCTGTTTATAGCTTCCGCTGTGTCCTGGCAGAGTCATGACTGAAGTTTTTTCAGTTGTTCATTACATTCCTGAGATGTTTTCCTTTCAGCTAATATTTCTCCTGCCTAGCCTCACCTGAAAGACTAATTTTAGGAAGTTTGCATAGATTAAAACTCAAAAACAAAAACCCCAGAAAAACAAAACCTGGAAACCACTACTGGTAGAACAAAAACTCCTAAGACTTTTTCAGATGTATTTTTCCATTAGGAGAATCTTTGTGGTCTTCTCTGTATACTTGCTGTTGTAGAATTACAATATTTGCCTTTGGTAGCACCTTCAAAAAATAAAACAATCAAAAACAGTTGGGTGTCTCTGGACCAATTCTGAAATTTGTTTCCCTTACTTAGAACTTTGTCTTCCCAGGATCCCACTGAAATCAGGGGGGCTTTGTCCAGGGAGAGGGATCCGATGGCTGGATTGGGACTTTACCAAGATCTTGTCAGCTGCAGTCCACCTGAGCCCAGGAGGACCACAACCAACAGCACATAAGGGAGCATCACGGCTAGCATTCATCTCAAGCCACCTCTGAATCCCCAGCCCAAACCACCAGAAACTGCCGAGGATGGCCTTCAGCATGAATGTGGGGCGAGGCTCAAAGCTGTACTACTAAAGCTATAATTCATAGATTCGTAGATGTAGGGTCGGAAAGGACCTAATTAGATCATCAAGTCTGACCCCCTGCCCTGGGCAGGAGAGAATACTGGGCTCATATGACCCCAGCCAGGTAATTATCAAGCCGCCTCTTAAAGACCCCCAAGGTAGGAGCCAGCACTACTTCCCTTGGAAGTTGGTTCCAGATCCTAGCCGCCCCGACTTCTAATGTCCAGCCTGAACCTACTCTCAAACAACTTATGACCCTTATTCCTTGTTACTCCGGGAGGTGCTCAGGTGAACAGGGTCTCTCCCGTTCCCTGCTGGTCCCTCCTGGTACGTTTGTAGACGGCCACCAGGTCCCCTCTCAGCCTTCTCTTGTGAAGGCCGAAGAGATGCAGGTCCCATAGCCTCTCCTTGTAGCATCTGCTCTGCTGTCCCTGATCATGCGAGTGGTCCTCCTCTGGACCCCTTGATGCTGGCCACATCCCTCCTGAAGTGCGGCACCCAGAACTGGACGCAGTACTCCAGCTGCAGCCTGACCAGTGCTGCACAGAGGGGGAGGATCTCCTCCTTGGACCTGCTTGAGATGCATCTGTGGATGCGTGGC